GGTATCTGCTCCCGCTTCCCTTCTTCAACTATAGGGAAATTCAAATCTAATTCTAGCTGTAAACTTTAGAGCTCAGACCAGCTCTAGTTCAAATGAGGATTTAAACACACAAGCTGCCTGTTTACATAGTGTGTTTAGGATTCTGGGGCTTTAGAGATTTGGGTTTGGTTCTCACCTGTGCCACAGACTCATTGTGTGACTTTGGCCAAGTCACTTAATCACGGTGTGACTCAGTTTCTGATCCTAGAATGAGGATAATTCTTCTGTCCTGCACAGGAGTGTTATGAGATCAAATATTCTTGAGGCTCTTGGATTCGGAGATGATATAACGAGATGTGCTCATTTGACTCACTACATTCAGGATTAGTACAATCTAAGTGAGGAACCTGTGTTTGAGAATTGGTTTGTGTTTTTCCTATCATTCTGTTTCTCTGTAAGAATGGGGGGTTTGTCAACATTCATGCACTTGTGTCTAACATCACTCTTCTTTCATCTCTGCAGTCTCCCTCTCTCTCTGGTCCCTTCTTGTTCATCCTTTGCCCTTTTTCTATACACCTTCGTATTCTGATTATTTTATTTGCATTATCGCAGTGGCCAGATACACCAATTATGATCCAGGCTCTGCTGTACAAACATAAAGAGGGTATACAAGTCCAAGAGAGAATGAGAAGGGGGCAAGGAGAGTGTAATGTAGTGGGAAGATCCCCTTCAGATTCCAGACAGAACTTTTGAACGTTGGGGAAGAGACCATAATCCCAAACATTTCCTCCAGGAGGGGAAGGAGAAGGAAAGATGAATAACAGGGAGGAGAGGGGAGAAGAGACAAAAGGACATAATGTGGGGAGAGGAATAAAAAAAAAGATGAAAGAAGTAGGAACAGGAGAGAAGGGAGAAGAGTTAAGAGGGGAGAGGAAAAGGAGAGAAAAAAGTGGAAATCTTCCAGTGAGTTTCTGAAATCACTGGAATCCCTTATGTTGCTCAAGCTCAGGGTGATTCCTAGACAGAGGCCCTGGTACAGTGGTTGCTTTGTTTCCACATATCTGAAGCTCTGGGTGAGGTTGCACAGAGTAGCTCTTTGTCAATGCCAGGGTAGCTGCTTGTCTGCTTTGGCGAGGCCAGCCTAACACTTCCCCAAACACTGAGCTCCCGATGTCCTCTTGGAAGGAGCAGAAATCGAACGTTGCTGTCGGGACGAAGGGTGTTGGGATCCGCACAGCCCCGTGCTCTTTGGGCTCCCTCCTTCCATAGTGAGTGCCCACAAAAGGACTCCTACAAATGGGCCTACCTCCACTGAACTCAGCAGACTGGTGCTGATCTACACCTGCTCAGGGCGTAGCCCAGACCGTTCATTCTGGATTGTGTAGCCACTGGAAAGCTTGAAGCCCCAGACTCCCGGTACAACCAAGGAGCAACCCAATGCCTGAAATAGAATCACATAAACAATTCTCAATTACGAACAAATTGATAAAAAATCTAAGTCTGCTCATGGGTAGTTAGTGAACGAAGGATGGGGCTGTGATCAGTGAATAAACTATTAACTGGGAATGGCTCTCCTGCTTCTCTACTGCATTCCTCTTTGTGTAGCTTGCAGCTACACCACCTTCTGCTGGGATCATGTCAAATTCCCTGTCTTAGAAAAGGCCAGGCTGGGACAATACTTGGAGGGAGACCTTCACGGGAAATCCAGGTGTTGCAAATGTGATTTGGTTGGGGAACACTGGGTTGGTCACTGAGCTAATGTCCAGCATGGTGTTCAGGGGTGCTGTGCAGCGAGTGGTGATTAAAGTAAGGTCCTGCCCACTTATAATCATTAATGAATTCATGGCATTTTTCTCAAAAGATGGGTTGTTTATGTTCTCCTGCCAAATACCAGCTTGGGTAAATGCATAGCTTCTACCAACAATGCCCCCCCAGTGCTGGACTTTTGGCTGGGGAAGAGGTCTGTGCTTGCCAGGTGCAAAATCATAATGAAAATGCTTTGGAGACATCTTACAACATTGTCATCATTATTAATGATACACTGGTATACAGCATCATTGCCATGCATGGCATGTTGCAAAGAGAATAAAGAAACCCTCCCTTCTCTATGGAGCTGATAGCATAAGTAGGAGTGTTGGTTTACTCTATTAAAAAGCACCTGGATGTGTTTATATCTAATGCAGATTAGATTCTAAGAGAGATATTCACAGGCGCAAATCTGGGAGAGAGAGATATGAACACACACACGTATATATTATTGCTCTATTATCTGCAAGAGAAAAGCTCAAGTCAGAGCTCCGCTTTGGGGGGAGGGATAGCTCAGTGGTTTGAGCATTGGCCTGCTAAACCCAGGGTTGTGAGTTCAATCCTTGAGGGGGCCATTTAGGGATCTGGGGCAAAAATTGGGGCTTGGTCCTGCTTTGAGCAGGGGGGTGGACTAGATGACCTCCTGAAGTCCCTTCCAACCCTGATATTCTATGATTCTATGAGAGGAGTGTTTTCCAAGGGAAATGCAATACAGTACTGTGGGGTTTGGGTCAGTCCATTATATGGATACTGGCCAACCAGACAGCACTGTGACAGAGGTTGTGTAAGAAGTATGGTAGATCCCAGGGGTGAAATCCTGACTCTGCTGAGATCAGTGAGAGCGAGGATTTCACCTGAAATTGAAATTTCCTCAAATCTGGGAGTGTGAGGATCTGGGGGTTTGGATGAGGCCCATCAAATGGGCCATTAAAGTCTGAGCTGAAAGGTCCAGTTGCTGAAAGATGTGGAACCCCCTCAACAACCATTGAAGCCGATGAGAGTGGAGGATGCCAGGCCCTCCTAGAGCCCATCAGCACTGTACTGGATTGGGTCCTAAAGCTCAAGCCTGGATGCTCCTCTAGTCTCCTTCAAACAGGACCGTTCTTGCTCCCAGTACATGCAACATTTAACACCCAACACCGAGTATTTCTGCAGCGAGTGGGAAGTGCTCAGACTCTCTGAAAAGCCTGACATCCCAGCATTTGCTCAGACCTTGCTCTGGCTGCCATGAGACATTAAACCTTCAGCAGTTTGCCTCTCCGAAGGTGGATTTTGGTTCTCTGCCTGGAAAAACAGTAGGCGAAATAGTAAAACCTTAAACTCAAACATGTGTAAGTTATACATCTTATTTCCATTTTCAAGCCACATTCCCCGAGCAAGACATGAGGAAAAAATTACCATCTGCCTTAGAATCTCTCAGTGGAGTATTTATCTCCCAGTCATGATCACTGAACTTCAGTAATTCCCCCACCCTCCGTTAGATTCAGAAACAAACTCATTTACTGTTCTATATTGGAAAACCCTCCCAACTGGCTCCCAGGACGAGATGAATGCACTGGCATGTTCTTTACCCTGCAGTAAGTAGCTTCCTCCCAAAGCACTTCTTTGCGTGTTTCTTTGCACTATTGGTAAAGAGGAAGGATGGTCATGTGGATAAGTCACTGGACGGGGATCCGGGTTCAATCACACACTTAAGCCCTGATTAAGCCACACTTAAGCCACACACTTAAGCCCTGATTTCTAAAGGTATTTAAGCATTTTTGTGCTCAGCATTTCAAAGCCTCGCTGATTTAGGAGCCTCTGTCTTATTTTCAATAGTGATTTTGGCACCTCCAACCCTAAAAGTCATTGATTGTTAATGAGATTTTGGCTCCGAAGTGCCTAAATCCTTTTTGAAAATGAGACTTAGGTTCATAAATCAGTTATGCACTGCAACCCTGAGAGCCACAGGGCCTAAATACCTTTAAAAATCTGGGCCTTAATCTCACTGTGCCTCAGTTCCCATCTGTAAACTAATGGCAACTCCCTCTTCTCTATTTACCTCATGAACTCGTCGGCCAGGGACTGCCTCTGACTGCAGGTATGTGGTGGCTGCCATCCCTGACACACCAAGAATTAAACTGGGGAATCTCTACAGCATGAGCTACTGCAGTGCAGGCTTCTTAGCTAGCGGCTGTAATGGACAGATATCCTCTGCAGATCAGCACAGGAGGGGACCTGCAGCACGCATTTGCCAGTGGGTTACATGGACAGCACCCAGCGCGATGAGACCCGAATCTCTAGGCACTGCAATAATATAAATTATCATTAGCACGTTTTTATTATCTTCCTGGAGCATTCTGTAGCTCCGTGTTTCCAGTGTGGACATTCTGTGGCCTTAAATAACAAAATGGGGAGGGAGTGCTGTATTTCTTATTATTTAGCGCTTACAGGTACTAGTCAAAGATTAAAGCCTTGTGCTAGGTGCTGGAGCGACACACAGTAAAAAAAACAGCCCCCAACCAACCAAACCAACAACAGACAGTTCTTGTCTCCCACGAGCTGACCATCAAGGTTATGACACCGCACAACTGGTGGGTGAGACAAACCAACTGGGGGCTTCTAACACCAAGTTGTATCTGCTTTACTGCAGACATTAACGTGATATCAAGCAATGAAGGATGTTTCCAGTAAGGGTAACGCAATGTGACATTGGCTGGAGCTCACTGCTTCATGTGAAGGGAGGAGGGGAAGACTTTCATAGGGAGGTAGCATGGCCAGTGGCTAGAGGACTTGGAATCTGGGCTATTGGGATCCCAGCTTTGCCATTGACTTACTATACGATCTCAAGCAAGGCACTTGGAGCTTGATTTTTCAGAGGTGCTAAGCACCTGCAGCTGCCATTGATGCCAGCTGGAATTTGGGGTGCTCAGCACACCTGAATACCAGGATGCTACATGCCTGAGTTTATCCTTTGGTTGAATAGATTAATAATTAACACGCTCCTGCTGTGAGGTTTCTGGTGTGTAGATTACCTGGGATTGTCACGTGACAGGTGATACAGAAGTGCAAGGTACCCTCTAGACGCTCCCCCTGTTTCTGACCTACAACTTGCTCCCCCTCCACTGCCATTTCTGTGACACCCCCACACACCCCTCCTGTCGTTTTGCTTCAGCAGGGAGGAAGGGTCAGCAACGACAATGTTGACGAGATGTCTGCTTCCTTTCCCATTTCAGGGAGTCGCCGGTAGACTGCAGCATTAACAAATGCAGCAAACTGGTGGGCACGGGGACAGAGTCCAACCCGATGAGTTACAGCACCTACATGGATGAAAAGAATGGCCCTCCCCCAAACATGACCACCAATGAGAGGAGAGTCATCGTCCCAGCAGGTACCGTCGGCATCACAATATTCGTGTTCTAATCTCTTTCCGCCACTGTCCATCTTTGATTTAACAGGGAGGGTGGGGGAGAGTTATCGGTTCTCTGCTGAGTTCTCTGTATTAATAACCGTATAAAGCTAAGCAAAAATTGGGCTTTCCATCCTGTGGGGAACTCCAGTATTTTGTTTCAGTGTCTTGAACCAATGTGATTCTCATGATGCACCACGCAGCTTGGTCAGAGGGGAAATTGTGGTGCACCATGGGTGATGTAGTCTGGCCAGGATGCCCAGCTCATAGAATTGAATGGGAACCTGAAACACTGATCTACATCTCCCATGAGGCTCAAAGCACCTTAGGCAGATGCACTTTATTGTAGAACTGACTAAAAATGAAATAGTTTGCTTTGATATTTCCAATGAAAAATCAGAAAATTTCAAAATATTTTCTATCAAAAAACAATTCTGTTGGAAAATTCCCAAGCAGCGGTGTGGCCTTATACAATATCTAACTGTACCTATCCAAATGTAACAGGGAATATGAAATCCATTCAGATGATCAGGGGTTTGGGAATCACTGCTGTGGGGAACCTGCAGAATTTATGCTTGGAAGGGGAGGGCATCTTTCCCCTGTATAGTTTGGAAACTCTCTGTGTATAAGCACTTTAGCATAGGAACTTCCCTATGAAGGAAACTGTATTAGTGAAGTTCTCACCCCATTGACGTCACTGGCAAAACTTCCATTGATTTCAGTGGGACCAGGATTCCCCCTGTGTTCTGAAGGATGCAGCTAATGAACTGTTCATAGATTCATAGATTCCAAGGCCAAAAAGGACCATTGTGATCTTCTAGACTGACCTCCTGTGTAACACAGGCCACAGGACTTTTCTGAGTTATTTCCTGTTTGAACCAGAGAAAATCCAATCTTAATTTTAAAATGGCCCGTGATGGAGAATCCACCACAATCTTTAGTAAATTGTTCAAAAGGTTAATTGTCCTCAGTGTTAAAAAAATTGCATCTTGTTTCTAATCTGAATGTGTCTCACTTCAATTTCCAGCCTCTGGATTTGTTAGACCTTTTTCTGCCAGTCTGTTCCCCATGCACGTACTGATAAACTATGATCAAGTCACCCCTTAACCTTCTCTTTGTTAAGCTAAACAGATTGAGCTGCTGGAGTCTATCATTGTAAGGCATGTTCCCCAATCCTTTAAGCATTCTCGTGGCTCTTCTCTGAATTCTTTCCAATTTATCGGCAGAAAGAGGTGTATTTGTCAAATTTAGCTCTGGTTTCGGTTCATGAACTGACCATGAACAGATGACAATTCCAGTGCATTTGTTTACCGTTTGGAATAAGGACAAGATGCTTGAACTGAATGCAGTAAGAGAGGGAAAGCCAATAAAAGATTGACCCCTGTGCTCAAGGTCCCATTTAAGCCCAGTTAAGCCTCTGTATGGGGTGAATTTTACCCTCAGAAAGGCAAATGACCTAAGCAGAATGACGGGAAAGGACATGTTTTCAGCATCAACATAGACAAACGACCCAAAGGAACTCTCTAGAATCTTCTCCCGACATTGCTAATGAACATGCCTGAGATTTAGAAAAATGTTTCCTGAATTCTGTCAGGTCACCCTGGGCCCTAAATGTAGGGATCTTACAAAACTAACTAAATAAACATTCTCCTTCAATATTTACAACCGAAAGGCCAACTTTCTCCAGAACTTGAAAGTGAAATGGCAAGAAAGTGGATGGAAACAGAAGTGCAGCTGATCAGGGTATTTTCATTGCCTAAACTCAGAGGAAATGCAGAAAGTAAATTAACAGTGAAGGATAGTAACTTACGTGGTTAATATTCAGTTTTACAGAGCTCAGGTGCTATTAAGAAGTAGGTAAGTAAATCTCACTATTTATTTTTAGTATTTTCTGGAGTGATTTTCCATTGCCATTTCACTCTGGTACGAAGCAGCCCTGAAACCCAGCAGATGCAGCTGCTAGATGATGCCCTCTGTATAAGGGGATGCTTGGGTGGCATGGGATGCCAGCCAATCCCATCCCCCAAACTGTGCTAAACACCCAGCCATGATTTGTGCCCCACATCTCTGGATATTCTAGGGCTGGAGGGACCAGAAATGGAAGTGGCAGGAAACTGTGATGCTGGATACTTCCAGTCTCATCAAAAGCAGGAATTGCCAGGCGAGGCGTGGTCATGCAATCAAGTTCTAGTCTATAGCCAAACTCCGCCAAAGTTCTTGAGCGTTTGAATAGAGTCCCTCATAGAGAGAGGTGCCAGATGTAAAGGACAGGCCCAGATCCAAAATTCCAGGGTGATAGGACCCAGAGTCTGGGCAAAGACCACTCCCTAAATTCAAGTAATTTTGCAAGAGAACCTAATTCGCGGCTCAAATTTCCAGATGAGGGAACATGAGAAAAATAGCACAGGAAGAATCTGACAGTCTCTGAAAATGATTCTGTATAAACGGTATCAAGGCTTGGCATGGTTAATTCTCTCTGGGACTTTTTGATCCAACCCATCATCTTAAAACTCAAAGGATGATTTCCTTTTGTAACTGCCGGTGCAGCAAACTCTCAACATAGTTGCTGACACCTCCAGCTGAATTCCATCCGCCTCTTCCATCTTTGCCACTAATAACAATTCCGCAACTGGACCTTAATTGACAATTGACAACGATGCACGAGACAGTATAGAATCCAGCTCACCCTCCAATAGCTATGTTGGTTTTGCAAAGCTAATGGGGTTGAAAACTTGTGTTTGTCAGCTGAGTCAGCAAACGTGACTCAGATACATGGTTAACAGAGCTGTTTAGGCAAGAATTTTTCAGCCTCCCTTTGCTGACCATAATAACCACCCTTCTCAAAGTTTAAAAGGCCATCTATTAGGAATTTGTAATGCACTCAGGACAGGCTGAGTGACTTCCATATCCCTGCTATAGCTGTGCAGCTTAAAAGGACCTGATGGTGTGATGAGTGCATCTCTTCAAAGGGATGAGCTTTTTATTCAAAGAGGTGAGTCATAAATCAGCTACTACAAAGATGGCCCGGGAGATAGTGCATCTGAGTGCAAACCTAGTGAGTTGGATGCTACTCCTGGCTCTGCTATTAATTCATTATCTCACCAGAGATGAGTCCCTTGCTGCTCTGTGCAAGAGCAGAATTAATTATACTTTCCCACCTTTGAGATGTGTAGATGAAATCTGCTCTATTGCTAACATTATTACTGGGCTAACTGACTGATAGCATGACACTCCTATGACAGGCTGTCCCTTTGGGCATGATATTTACCAGCTGTCTCTTCTTCTGCCAGATCCCACCTTGTGGACCCAGGAACACGTGCGCCAGTGGCTGGAGTGGGCTATAAAGGAGTATGGATTAATGGAGATTGACACATCCCTCTTCCAGAACATGGACGGCAAGGAACTGTGCAAAATGAACAAAGAAGGTTTCCTCCGAGCCACCTCCCTTTACAACACAGAAGTTCTGTTGTCTCACCTCAGTTACCTCAGGGAAAGTAAGTGCCCCTCTGATGCTGGTGCAATGTTTTCTTGCGGGGTGGGGGGAGGAGGGAAACAGGCAGTGGTGAGTTTTGAACATCTCACGATGCACTTGGGTGATAAATGGAGGGGAAGAGGAAGAGAGAGGAAAAAGGGAAAGAGTGGAGAAAAGAGAGATAGAGGAAGAGGAGGAACAAAAGGGAGTGAAAGATAAATCAAAACTAAACTAATGAAATATTGTTTTACACCAACCAAAATTAGCCTGTGGAACCCTCTGCCTCAAGATATCACTTAGGGGAAGAACTTAGCAGCAGTCAACAAAGATCTGCATATTTATATAGATAATAGGAACATCCATGGCTATATGATTAAAAAGAAATACAGACTCTCTTCAGTGACTAAGCCAACTACTAAGTGATGGGGTTATGGGGAGATTACTCCATAATTTTCCATTTTAGAGTACTTGCACCTTCCTCCAAAGAACTGGTGTGCACCATCATCAGAGACAGGATATTGACCTGGCTGTGAGCCAGGCTGGCAAGTCCTGTGTTCTTCTGGATCCGGCTGGGAATTTTGTTGAAGGAGGAGAAAGTACGAAAGAGACATTCACTGACTATGGCTGCTCAAAAGCCGGCATGGTGTGAATAACCCTGTGTTCAAAGATAGCAGGATTTTGTTAAACCTCTTTGGTCCTGTCCCCTGCAGCACGGCCCTACCCCAGCAGGACCTGGGAGGGCCTGCTCTTCTTTTAATAGCCCATTTTGCTTTAGTAAGGTCCTGCAGTGGGCTACCAAACAGGGATGGGCTACTCTTTTAAAAGAGCTATAGCATTACCCAGAGAGAAAGGGTGATCCAGTGGTTAGCCCAGTAGTCTGGGACTTGGGAGACCTTGGTTCAAGTCCTTCCTCTGCCACAGATTTCCTATAGGACCCTAGGCAAATCCCTTAGCATTCTCTGCTTATAAAACAGGGATAATAACACTTCCGTATGTAAGGCTGATAGACCCCAGTTATTGGCAGGCAGGATCAAACCTGGGACCTCTGAAGCTAAATGCATGAGCTAAAAGCCATGTGGCTGTTAGCTAAGGCTGTACAGCAGACTCATTAATCTCTTTCTAAGTGGCTTTAGGGCCACTTGATGGGACACAGCACCACACCCAGGAGATGTGTGGGTTACACCTACATCCTGGAAGTGTCCTGAGGATAAATACATTATGAGGAGCTCAGATGTGATGATGAGAGGCCTGATAAGTAGATAGATCCTACATGATCCCAGCTCATCAATTTTCTTTTCTATCCACTGCATTTGCATTCCTTTCTTCCTCCCCTGATTTCAACCTTCCAGAGCTCAGAGGGTTATGACTTCGATTGGAACAGCTTTCATGGGGATGTAAAAACTGAGAAATGAAAGGTAGAAAACTGATCAGGAACAATGTGCTGCACAGCAAGGTGTGGGAGACCGACAAATGTGTATTTTCTTACAAATTGACGGTGCATAACTCGTATAATCTCCAGAGAGCTGGAGATGTCTCCTGTCTGGCCAGTGCAGCAACACAGTTAGGCAATGCAGTCAGATATTTAGGATGGAATTTTCAAAAGCATTCAGCATTAGTATAACTCTGCTCCCACTGAAAACAATGGGAATTTTACCACTGATGGGAGAGGGAGCACAGTTAGATCAGTGCAAACCTCACCCATATTTTGTAAGATGAGCTAAGATGAGCTGAATGAACTGATGGATTTGAACTCCCACCACCACCCCCACCACCACCTCCACATAGCTGGATGATCACAAAATAATCAGATTTATCCAAAGTCATTTGCAATTTTCTTCAGCAAATGGTTGTTGGTCCACATAACATTCCAAGGGTGAATGTCACAAATGAATATACAAATCACTCTGACACTTACATAAAAAATGTGCACCTATTTAACTAAAGGAAGTGATTTTTCCATATGCTCCCCCATCTGTCTGTATCCATCTGTTGTTTCATGTTTTATACTTAGATTGTAATCTCCTGAGGGCAGGGACTGTCTTTTTGTTCTGTGTTTGTACAGCGTCTAGCACAATGGTGTGCTGGTCCATGGTTAGGGCTCCTTGCCACTAGGAAAATAGAAAAATGATTATTTAAAACTGATTTACTGAAATTGGCACCATTTCTGTGTATAGACAAGGTCTGACTCAAGGGAGCAGTGTGAATTTTGCAAGCAGATAAATTATTTTCAATTCTGGTAAGGTGAATATTTGCATGAAACATTCACTTTTCTTGAGCATTGGGAAAGGTTGAGCATTCACAGAAAGTGACTGTGAAAGAGTCATGGATGCTTCTAAATCACCATTTGTTGCTGAGTTTGAGCAGATAAATAGCAAAATGTATTTCCTTTATTGCCCCAGCTCCAATCAGGAACCTTCTCCCACCTCTATCCATAGGTAAAGAGCACACATAGTAGATGGGCGAATGGAAAGCTGTAGGAATCTTTTCCATGCTCTTTTCCTGTTTACAGGCTATGCTGGGCCAAGTTAAGCCCTGTGTAAATAGGTGCAACTCTCAATTATTTTAGCAGGAGTTGCAGTCTTTTTACACCAAAGCTATATTGTAAAACAATAGTTGTGTGTATAGGGGTGCAGTACCATAAGTGTGTGCATCTAACCGCAATCCAGGTAGACTTTGCTTAGTCTGGGGTTTAAACCCAAAATTTGAGCCAGATTCTAAGAGGTTTCCAAGCTTTCTGAAGAGACTGGCTGAATCAGGGCTTTTGGGTTGAAAGCAGATGTTTCATGACTGCCACCTGCTCTGTGGATAAATAGAAGGTTCCATTCCCCAGAGATAGCAGCCTGGTACCTTGCAAGGGCATGAAATTAACTTTATAATAAATATACTTGTCCCATCCTTGGTACATAGCGGGTCTTTGGGTCTAAGAAGATTGCAGGTGATAGATAGATAACTTAGATTAGATAGAAGGTATGCGTGCCCTATAATATATATATGTATGTATATGCAATCTCCTCAGACCCAAACAGTCACTGTGCAGAAAGGATGGGACAGGTATTAGACTGCAGAACAGTGTCTTTGACATTCTGTCAAAGTGTCTTGCTGTCTCATTACAACCCAAAGAGAAAACACTTTTATCAAGAAGAGAAGATGCTTCAATCAGTACTAAGAAGCAGCTGCCTTTAATGATTTTGAAAATAAAATAAAAATAATAGGGTATTCTAACTATTCTGTTATGACATGACAGCAGTAGTGATTATAGAACCATAGAATATCAGGGTTGGAAGGGACCTCAGGGGGTCATCTAGTCCAACCCCCTGCTCAAAGCAGGACCAATCCCCAACTAAATCATCCCAGCCAGGGCTTTGACAAGCCTGACCTTAAAAATATCTAAGGAAGGAGATTCCACCACCTTCCTAGGTAACGCATTCCAGTGTTTCACCACCCTCCTAGTGAAAAAGTTTTTCCTAATATCCAATCTAAACCTCCCCCACTGCAACTTGAGACCATTGCTCCTTGTTCTGTCATCTGCCACCACTGAGAACAGTCTAGAGCCATCCTCTTTGGAACCCCCCTTCAGGTAGTTGAAGGCTGCTATCAAATCCCCCCTCACTCTTCTCTTCTGTGATGTGTATTACAAAACCCCCAGATATCTAACCCCAGACCCAAACACCCCAAACTAGGGAAGAGTTGGATCCATCTCTGAGCTGCACAATTAGCACCCATTTCTGTAATGGACTGAGCCATGTGATGCCCTCCTATTACAGGCACGCTATGCAAGAGTGTGAAAATAATATAAAAGTGAAAAAAAAACCCACATAAACTAAAATTCCAGACAACATTTCGGAATTCTAAACCAAACATTTTCTGAGACTGACATTTTTAGGAAATCCTGCTTCAAAGGCCATTTAAAAATATTTGTTTTCATTCCAGTTCGGGACAAAATCAAATGTTCAATTCATACCTCTACCACTAAATTTCCCATTTAGCACTGGGCAAATCAATTCATCGCTCTCGGCCTCAGTTTCCCCAACTGTAAAATGAAAATAAGATCTTTCTGCCTCCTTTGGTCTGTCTTGTCTATTTCAATTGCAGTCACTTTGGGCTAACTGTCTCTCATTAGGTGTTTTTACAGTGCCTACCACAATGGGGCTATGACCTCAGCTGCAGCCTTTAAGGTGCTAACATAATACAAATGGATAACAATCATAAAAGATAATGTCCCAGCAGAAGAATAGACTAGATGAGCTCATCCCAATTAAGCCAGTGCAAACCTGAGTGACTCTGTTGGATTCAGAGTAGTCAATAACTCCAGATTTACACTGGTGTAACTGAGAGCAGACTCTAGCCCCAAGACTCCAGTCCATCTCTGGCTTTTGCACTCATACATTTTACCCAGTTCAGACCCATTGGCTTCTTTAGCCTTAGTTGGGCAGCTCTGCCAAAGCCATACAAGCATTGACCTTAAAGCAAGCTCCTGTGTGAGCGTAGGTCAGGCAGCCTTCTGAAGAGAATTCCTTTCCATGCAGCTGTTCCCATGTCCGCCTAATGACAGTCTGGTTTCTGGATTGCTGGGTAACTCCCTGGTGGAGTAACGCCTTCGAAGGGAGTTTATTGTTTTTCCAGACTGATTTCCAGCGGATGTTTAGTGCCGAGCCTCTGAGCTCAGTGCCATGGGGAGATGGTCTTTTATTTTCCTTTTGTGGCCTTGTTTGTTTCGGAGACATCCGGTTGCATTACTGCGGGGGAGGGGCGGAGGACACATGGTGGCAACAAAGTACAGAAGGAGTTGGAAGGAGGAGGAGTTGGAAGTCTATTGGCTAAAATATATCCCCCATTTATGGGTGAAGGGGGTTATCTATCTATCACATTTATGTGGCTCCCATCACCATAGTATCTGACCCCTCACAATCTTTACTGTATTTATCCTCAAAACATGCTTGTGAGGCAGAGCAGTTCTATTATCCCCATTTTACAGATAGGACACTGAGGCATAGAGAAACTAAGTGACTTGCCCAAGGTCAC